ATGGAAGACAAGTGCTCTAGAAAGCTGTCTGAACCTAGAAGCCATCAAGGACCATGAGATTTCTTTGAGAATAGAACTCAGGGACTGAGAATGATAAGAACAGAATTATAGACAGGACCCTGAGATCTTGGTGAGTTGGTGGCGCTTGTATTTAGGGATATTTATTTCCAGACATTTTACTATATTTCACTGACTCTTCAGATGTACTGTTTATTTATGGTTTATTAAGGAAATAAACACTGCCAGCCAACTCAAACAATGCTTTGCTTTTTGCATGAACTGTGAGATTATTCTGATGCCAGAAATATAAAACTGAGCTGGGCGCCGGTGGCTCACGCCTGTAATCCTAGCTACTCAGGAGGCTGAGATCTGAGGATCATGGTTCAAAGCCAGCCCCGGCAGAAAAGTCCGTGAGACTCTGATCTCCAATAAACCACTAGAAAACCGGAAGTGGCACTGTGGCTCAAGAGGTAGAGCGCTGACCTTGAGCTGAAGAGTGCAGGGACAGTACCCAGGCCCAGAGTCCAAGCCCCACGACTGACAAAAAAAAAAGAAAGAAAAAAAAGAAATATAAAACTGGAAAAAAAAAAAGGAATCTAAGAATCTATAAAATGTCTTCTAAGAAACAAGTCTTGTGTTTTAACCCACTTGTGTGTGTATGTGCTGACAGTGATCAAATATACACTAGGCAAGCACTCTATCAGAACCTGTACCTTAATCTCTAGGCTTTCTGATACATAATACACAACACACAATCTTTAATACAAACCAGGTTTAAATTTTTCCATATGTATTTGAATTAAGAAGGACTTGAAGTTTGAGTTCACATGCATCAAACAATACTTATTTTAAAACTCAACTTTATTAAATTAGGGCCCACATAGGTAATGCATACTCAAAATTTGTATAGATATTTTTATATATCTATAACATTCACTCAAAATATATATTTCAGTGGTTATACTGATTTATGCATCCATTTCACTTTCATGATGATCACGGTACAAGATATCTTCATGATCCCTTAATCCTCCCCAGACCTGTACAACTATTGAACTACACTCTGTCATTACAGATAAGTCTTCCAAGAGCCAGATATAAACGGGATCATACAATATTTATTCTCTCTTGTGGTCTGGTTTCTTTCATTAGCATACTGCTTAAGACTGGTCCATCTTGTTTTATATATTAGTAATTTTATCTCTAAGAAGTATTCCATAGTGGAATATATGCATAGTTTACATATTATTTACCCTTTCATGGATGATGAACCTTTTGTTTTTCAGTTAGAGTTTATTATGAGTAAATATGCTATGGATATTAGATGCACAAGCAGTAATTTTTTAATCCCACTATAGCCATGGACCAGTTCTGTCCTCTGTATTGCCCAGCCTCTGGGTCTAATAATCCTATAACACTTGTTACTTATCCCTATCATTTTTTCTAATTGTCTATGAACATGGACTGAAGCTACATCTATCCTGAGTAGGAATTTCCATCTTTAGTCCTACTGTTTTTCCTAGTCTAAATTTCCAAACCCCATCAGAAAAACAAATATACTAGAATATGACAGTGGGCATAGAAATATAAAGGAACAAATAGTACAAACCCCCAAACCAGCTTTCTGTCCTATGAGAGGTAGTAGGGAAAGAACTGGCCATTTATTACTGTAAATGTCTTGGCATATTCACTGAGGTTCTTTTTCTGTTCATCTGGAAAATTAATATAACATGGCAGAGTGTGAGAATTAAGGGATTCATCCATCCAATATATATTCAATCTTGACCTAGGATCTGAGGATATAGCAGTGAGCAAGATAGCAGAAGGGCTCATGGAGTTTATTTATATTCTGGACTAGGGAGATAAAGAAATGAAAATCAAAGTCTGTGCTATGTTAGGTGGTGATAAGTGCTATGGAGGAAAAAAAAAAACAGCAGGGAAAGAAGATAGAAAAAGGCTGTGTTTGTAATCCCTTGTTGGCTGAGCATTGCTTGAAAGTGAGGATTGATTTTTCTCCTCTATCTCTAGCATTTATCACAGTGTTAGCTGCATCTTAAGTGCTGCACCAATGTTTTCTGAAAGAAAGAAGTGACTGAGTATAAACGAGTGTTGAGAAGTTTATCTCATGTAGTCTTTGTAATACTGCTTACCTGGACACTTTACATTCTTGCAGACAGGTTAATACTCATGTCAGCAAGAATGGTGCCCTTCAGTTCTCCTTGTTCATGTTGGATCTTCAAGTATCTTATGTTTACTGCTTGTTACATTTTTCCTTGGAAATCAGAATTCTTTTAATGAATGTCAACAGTAATGTATTCTTGTTTTTTTTTTCTGCTTTTTTAAAAAATCAACAGGGGTACAAAAGGGGTTTCATCCTCGCATTTCTATACATATATAAAATGTATCCCAACAAACCTTACCCCTTCTATCTTTATTCTAGTACTCCTTTCTTAAATGTTCGCTAATTTTTTTAAATGCACGTTGAAGGTGCTTGCTGATGAGTTATGAAGAAATTTGACATGCGATTTAGTGTGTCAATTTTTGTACTTTGGTGTTTTGATATTCTATAGTGCCTGGAAACCTGGCATGGTATACACTACACCAAGCATACTGTAATCACACTTCAGAACAGAATTCAGTGTTAAAGCACAGCAATGTACTTAATTTGTAATTACTAGGGGTTAGAAAACAACCCAATATGTAGCAAAATCTCATATACACAAAACATAGCAGCCCTGCATATGACTCATTTTCTTCCTTTTGCCTTCCTACATATTGTACAATGAGGCCATATTAGTTTATTAATCATTCATCCATTCTTGTTACCTTTAAATGACCAATGAGTGGAAAAAAGACTGGGAAATATTTATATATATGATGGTTTGATCGATGGAACATTTAAAGTCTACAAAATTTGGTAGGTTGAAATGCTGGCTTCGTTTTTTTTCTTAAGATCGAAGACAGAATTGCCCTGGAGTTTTGGAAACAATCTATTTTCTAGGGTGTTTTATGGAAAAATAGATAATAAATGCAAAAATACACCATGTGTTTGTATATTGGCAAAGCTAATAGCTGTGTCACTCAGTATAAACTCTACTAAGGACAGGGGCTTTGTTTACTTCTGAACCTCTATTACTGATCATAAAACATGCGTTCAAGAAACACTTAGCTTGGCAAATATTTATTGTAATGATAAATATAATAAATACTTATTTCACAGGAGAAAACATACCATCAAATGATTTCATGGCTTTACAATTCCATGAGGTCAAAATCAACCCCGGGTGACTCACAAGGTTGCTGGAGATGGAACCCGGAGGGACCACCCCCTTGGGCTAGGCCAAGTGCTCTATCAGTGCCTACACCCCTCAGTTCTCGTCATTCACGTTAACCCACTTGGTTGACCATGTTCTTTTCAACCTCAATAATGTGATACAAACGATCTCCACTTAAGCTACTGAATGACACTTATCTTAATTATTCATGCTTTCTTCTTTTCTGCCTGAAGCTTTTAAAATGTTCAGCTGAAATCCAAAAATCCTTTGAACTATTTTAACTCATGTTTATTTGGATGCGATTAAAGACACACACACACACATACACACACATACACATTCACACAATACACATACACACACACTTACGTGTACTCACTCATTCCCCACCCCCCTTCGGTCCTTAGGGATGAGGGAACTCTTTAAACTTGGTTAGCACACGGCAGACATTTGTTGACTTACTTATTTTCACAACGTTTAATAACACAAGGATAAACGAATGTCCTAGAGCTTACTGAGGTGCAGTTATAATTTCGGGGAATTTTAAGGAAATATTCTCCCTGCTGAATGCAGCTCAGTCGCAATCATTTTCGGTAATGTCAGAATCTGCTAGAACGATCGGGAACAAGCAGCTCCCTTTCCGATTCTATTCTACGTGTCAGGGATGATACCGGTTTATGCCTAAGGCCCCTCGGGCCTCCCCTCTTCCCCCGGGATCGTAACCAAAGCAAAAAGTAGAAAGAAGGATTTGGATCCAGAAAATCTGGACCTAAACCCCTGGCGTCTCCCCTCCCCACCAACGCTTCCCGTCAGACCGAGCTGTTGCGCGAAGCCTGTAATCCCGCATCCGAGGGGCTGCGTTTAGTTCAGCTTCAGAGACGTCGAACAGAAAACCAATCAGAACAACGACAAGACAAACCACCTTGGAGTTCGAGGCCGGGAGGCGTCGGGGTGGGGCGGGGGCGCAGCCCGGTGGGCGAGGGGAGGCTGGGCCAGGTGCAGGACTTACGGAGGCTTTCCTGGGTCCCCGGCCAACTACCGGCCCGGGACACCCGCCGCGGATGGGCCTCGGGCGCCGTGGGCGACGCCACCGACGTTCGCAGGCTGCACACGGCTTATTCGGGTAAAATCACACACCGACCCCGACCCCCGTCCGGACCAAAATGCAACGTGCCGGGGGACGCGCGGGCCGGCCGGGCGTGAGCGGGCGCCCCGCAGCGCCCCGCGGCGCCGGGCCCGCACTCCGGCCCTCCCTCCCGCTTTATTTTTTCCTGTCACCGTGCTACAGAAATAGGAAAGTCTCCCGGCCCTATGTGTGTCGTCGGGGGTTATTTTCCAGGCTGGCACCGGGCAGGAGGAGAGGGGATGCCGGAGGCCGGTGGAACCCAGCGGGAGGGGAGCCCGCCGTGAGCGGGGGGTCCGGGCGCGCCGCGATCCGGCCGCTTCCAGAACGCCCGGAGCCGCCGCAGGCCAGCTCCGCCCCCCCCCGCACGCCCCGCCCCCCGCCGGGGTTTCCCCCGCCGCCCGCTGCATTTGCATGGCGCGGCCCCGCCCCCGCCGCCATTGGCCAGCGCAGGGCTCCGCCCCCTCTCCGCCCCCCCACCCCCGCCGCGGCAGGGTTCCGTCCCCCGAGCGCCCTGAGCTGCGGGCAGCGGGCGGACTGTTAAACCGCGGCGGCAGCGGCGGCGGCCCGGGCGGGAGCGGGGCGCGCTCTGGAGAGGCGGCAGCGGCGCCCCGGGTGGGGGGAGGCGGGCGGGCAGCTAGAGATCACCTCAGCAGCCCCCACCACGGCCGGACCGAAGGTGCGGCGGCGGAGGGGAGCCAGGGCGCCCCAGCAGGCGAGTGGCCGGCGTCTCAGCGGCGGGCTGAGGGGGGTGGGTCTCGGCCGGGGACCGAGGCAGCGCGGGGCGGGGAGAGCGGACGGGACCGCTGGGGGGACTCGCGGGCCCGGCGACCCACCGGCAGTCCCCTCGTTCCCCGAATCCTCTGGGCTGTTGGACTCCGGGCCCCGGCACACGGATCGCGCTCCAGGGCAGGGGTCGGACCACAGCCAAATTTAAACGGCTAAATCTAACAGCCTTGGCAGGAGCGGCGGGGAGGGGAGCGGAGGGAAGGGCTGGAGGGCGGGGCGGCCGGGGGTGGGCCCAGGGCCGGGTCACGTGGGGAGGGGGAGGGGCCTGGCAGGCCTCCCTTTTGTTTTGGCCGGCGCGTGCGCAGAAGGCGGCACACGTGGTCTCCGGGGCCCGCCCCTCGCCCGAGCGGCCGCCGCCTCGCCCCAGGCTTGGCGTGGTGGTGGGCTGTGTGCGGGGCGGCGCCGGGGCGGGGCGGCGCGGCGTGAGCCGGGACCCTCGGTCTTGATCTCGTACTCGGTCTCGGGCAGACGTTGGTTTGACGTGTGCGATGAGTCGGTGTCGCTGCCCGCGCCGGGACCGCGACCGATCTTCCTGGAAAAACTGAGAACGTGTGTGGTGGCTGGGAGGAAGAAGTGCCAGGCGATGCTCGGGTGGTTCCAGAAACCGCAGGGAACGGGGCGGGGGACGGAGCCGCCGCCGACCCGGGGCGCGCAGCCGCGGGGGGCTCCTGCCCGCGCTGCCCTCCTCCAGTCGGGGGCTCCCGCAGGGGCTGGTGTTCGTGGTGTTGTTCGTGGTGTTGTTGTTGCTGTTGTTTTTTAACCCCCCCCCCCCCCCACTCTCCAGCCGCCGAAACCTGGTGTGTTTTCCTGTTTTTGTTTTTAATTCCCCAAATCGGGGAAGGCTGGTCCTGGCGAGATCGGAGAGACTGGCTTCCCCGGTCCTTCCTTGACCTGTCGGCTGAGCTTTGTGCGGAGTTGGGTTTGGGTTCTTAGGAACGCTCCCTTCTCCCCCCCCCCCCACGCCGCCCCCCAACGGAGAGAAAACCCCGGCCGGGTGCGGCCCGATCGCGAGCCCCCGGACCTCTCCGAAAGTTATTGTTGAATTCCGCCCGAGAAAACCGGCCGTTTTCTGGATGGGGGAGAAATTCGCGCTCCGCCAGATACTAACTGGGGCGCGGCGTGGTGGCCGGAGGGTCAGCAGTGAGTGTTTGCCCGCTATCCCCAGGCCAGTCCGACGTCCACCGGTCCCAGATCCCCTTCCTCACGTGCACTGTGTCATGACATACGACCCTTGCCCGGAGAAAATGGTTAGGGAGATGCAGTGCCCCGTGTCAGAAAAAGTTAGCCGTAGTGCTTGCCAGCACTGCAGGAGCAGAAGTCACCCGGTGCCGTGCTACCAAGGCGGTTTTTTAAAGAGCCTGCCTGTTGGCGGAATGGAAACCCAGGAGTGTCACGCAGTAGGAGAGCTCTGATTTTCTGCAGAATGGGTTGTAAACTGGGAAGGTTGCTTTTCCTTCAGTTTCCACTTCGTTAAAATGAATGTCAGGGTCCGCCACCTGTTCTTCACATAAAGTTATCCTTACTTTGCTTCACCAGCCTTCCCAGAGTGTTTTTTAAATGTGAAAGTCTTAGCCGAGGCCAGTTTTGAGACACTGACTTTTACGTTTTAATTTCTCATAGCGATATGTGCCTTTTCAAGGAACAATCATTTCATTAAATCTTAACATTATTTGGCCAGTAGAGAAAAGTACAAATAAGAAAATTAGGGTAATTAATATTTTCTTAAATACTGTATATGTTTTCCTAAAACTGGAATCATGCACTATTTTCATTTAGTTGCAACTCAAACATTCCCATACCATTCAATATTCTTTGAAAAACGTTAATGGCTTCTTAACATTTCATCACTTAACTATTGTATTTAGTTGTTTTTTTTTTTTTTTACTACTGGTAAGGATGTTTCTAATGTTCGCAAGTTTAAATTTCAGAATTTCATTAAGTAGCCTTTTACAAAAAAATCTTTCAAGTTTCTCTCTTCCCTTTGGAGAATAATTTCTGGGTCAGAATCTCTTTTTCTTGTTGCCTTTTAAGTCCTTGTAGTACCCCCAAGTTGCTTCCCAGAATATTATATTGGCTTATACTCATAGTGGTATGAACATCTGACACTTGGGTTCATCATCCAGTATTAGCTTTAAGATGAAACATTATGCTTTAATTTGCATTAAGAGTTTTTCTCTAGGTTGATAGGGTATATCCTATTTCCTACTTTACTATAAGGCAGTTTCATATTTGGTATGTTGCAAATCACATAGTGGGTAAACAGTAAATACTTGCCAATTGGCTATTAATATTTAACTCTTATCCATGAAAGATCAAGAAATTGTTTTAGCCTTTTTTTTGGGAGGGAGTAGTGGCAGTGCTTTGTTTTGAACACAGGAACTCACATTGGTTTCACAGGCACTTTAGCTATTTTGGGGGTAGGGTTTCTTGGTTTTGCACAGGGCCTGCCTCAGACTGTGATTTTCTTACCTGTGTTTCCCCTTGTAATTGGGAAGACAGGTGACTTGCTTCCACACCTGGCTTATCTGTTGAGATGTGTGTGTCAACTTGTCTTGAACTTCCATCTTCCTGATCTCTTTTTCCCAAGTAGCTAGTTGTACTCTTTTGCTGTTCGTTTTTTTTTTAATTTGGAAGTACCTTTTAATGTACAATGTAATGATTAATTTGAATATTTCTTCTGTTCACATGGGACTTCATTGATCTTAGAAAAATTCTGTAATCTCACATTGTCCAACCCCTGTATTATCCAAGTACTTCCTCCAGTTCTCCTTAATCCATTTATTTTAACTTAAACTATTTCACTTCAATTATTCCTTTATCTTCTAATGTGATTATATTTCCCAATGATCATCCTAGTTTTACTGGTAGCCCTTAGGTTTGAAAAAAGCAAAAAAAAAAAACCCCACAAAACCTTAGTGTCTACATTTCATTGGTTTATTTCAGACTGTTTTTGGCAGCCCACCTGTTATTTTCTATAAAATCATTTGTTTTCTAGTCTGCTACATAAAATCTATCAGTAATATATAATTCCTGTTTTATTATATCTTTGGTGCATTCATTCAGTTATCTCATTAATGACTTTTTAAGTTTGCACATTATTAGATGTTAGTTGAAGGAGACAGAAAGCAACTTCCTTCAGATTTAAGATTGCACTTAAGTTTGATACTAATTGGGTTTGTCAAATTATAAATGGCAAACAATGAGACTGATTGCCACACAAATGACCGCTATTGGGGAAATAGCAACCAATTTCCTGACTGTCCTTAGTCATTACTGCATTTTGGTATGTAATGGAATATTGTACATAAACATGGCCCGATGTCATAAGTGCAATCCTACATTATTTTCATTATGTTAGATTTAGAAGAACAAAGGAAGCAAATCATTTGTAAAAGAGTTCTACTTTTAAATTTTATTCTAAATAGCTATTTCACTGAGCCAGACTCCTTATTCCCTAACCATAAACACCCAGAAAATGTTAATGAAAATGGTATTGTAATTGATAGTGTAGAATGAAAATTGAGGATAATTCATAGTGGGAAACTTAATACTAGAAGTTACTTTTTAGTTCTTAGAAAAGGATATAAACACTGGTTTGTAATATTGTAGCTCTGTTAATATTTTTATTTTTATTTTTTTTGTCGGTTGTGGGGCTTGAACTCTGGGCCTGGGCACTGTCCCTCAACTCTTCAGCTCAAGGCGAGCGCTGTACCACTTGAGCTACAGCGCCACTTCCGGTTTTCTGGTGGTTTATTGGAGATAGGAGTCTCACCGTCTTTCCTGCCCGGGCTGGCTTTGAACCGCGATCCTCAGATCTCAGCCTCCTGAGTAGCTAGGATTACAGGCGTGAGCCACCAGCGCCCGGCTTGTTAATATTTTAAAATAGTTAATAACTTTTTGTTTGTAAGTTATGGCTTCCTTTGTAAGACTCGGAATTTTTCAGTATTTTACTTTTTGGAAGTGAACATTTGTATTTGGTAGTAGGTCATTAATCAATGTTTAGCCACATGTTAAATTTGAGCCCAAATAAGTAGACTGAGCAGATGTAAATTTTTACATTTACATATAAATTTCTGCATCAAATTGACCTACGCAGAAAAAGTAGCTGTTTAGATTCCTATGACTCATGCACTATAACTAAATAGTAATAATTCTGCTTGAAGTATGATCTGTTTGATGTGTTATGTGGCCACACAAGTGGCTTTATCTTCAATTAAATTCCTTTAGTCTTCAAAGAGAATTCCTTTTTAGGCATAGTTTTAAAAGTGGAAGATAGTCTTGCTTATAAACATCATTGACTACAAAGTACTGAGCTGACTGTACCCTGGTCATGCCAATTACTGCAGTGGTTTCTGCTGTAAATTGTGAATATCCTTTCAAAAGGCATAAAGAACCTTTGAAAACACTAGTTTATCATCTAGCTTCCTTAAATTCTATTTTTTTAAAAGAATAAATTGTACTAGTGTAAATTCCTTCTCATGTTGTATTATTGGATTTTTTTAGAAAAGTTTATTTGCCTTATATGTTAGTAATTTTTAAAAACAGATCTTACCTTTTGCTAAAAGGACTTGTCTTTGTCTTTCTGTTTCTTAGTAACATTTGTTAGCCATTTGAAACATTTAAGTTTAAAAATGTGGAAATAATTTAAGATTTAAACATACTTTAGGGTTCTACCCTTTCTCAAAGTACTGTTGATAGGGTTTTTTATTTTTGTTTTTTTTACTTTAATGGTAACTGCTTTCTTTTTGGTGCTTATATTCTAGTTTTACTGCTCTGTGTTTAAGATAAATGGGTTTATCCATTTACAGTTAAGAGAATAAATTTAATTTTAAGGGTAAAAATGGGTACAATACTTTCTGTGGACTATGTAAAATATATGTATGCATTCTAGAATATACATCATAATAAAAATCATTGAGCAGCATTTTAAGGGATGACAAATCAGGGCTATTTAATACATCTGGATCTTTAATACATTCATTTACATGAGGAAGTGATTCTTCTTAGATTATCAGTTTCAACTCAAACTGTATAAAGACAAGATTAGTACATTTTTAGTCTTTCCTTAGAAATTATCAAAAGTTATTTGGAATATGTAACATATATTAACTTATAACCATTTTCCACTTTAGGCCAAATTATAGTGTCAGAAGTTTTCAGACTTGAAGCATTTTTGTCAGTTTGGTGGTGGGAAAACTTGACTGTTGCTTTTTTTAACCTCATTACTTCTGTGATTCACTACATATATAATGACCCTTTTTTTAGATGTCATTGTCTTTAAAGTACCTCATTGTTCTATTCTTTACGCTTTGAAGGAGGTCTTTATGTATCTTGGATGCTAATATTTATCTTTTACATTTGCTATAGGAATCTTAGACTACTTGCTTTGAACCCTGTTGGCAATGCTTTTTTTTTTTTTTTTTTTTTTAACCAGATATTTTTGTGTCTTTTTTGTTTCTTGGTTATTTGTGCTAGTTTTTATAGAAATAGAAATGAAAGGAATAGAGTTAAAGCTAGCATCTGGTAACATACAATATGGCATACATATTTAAATGTAGCTATTTAAATGTCTATTAGCTATCATGGGTTAAAACATAATTAAGAAATGTCATAATTATAGAATATTAGATATCTATAAGACAGTTTTTAATCATGTAGAATGTTTCACTAAATATTTAAGGTTCATGATTTTCAGTGGTATTTGCTTATATTTTTTGGCAAATCATATATATGGTTTCACACTTCTGATAAAATTTAATGCAGTTTATTTCAGTATAGGAGTAATGTTTAATGATTATCTGACACAATCTCCACTACTTTTTCAGACATCAATAATGCATGGTACAATAATAACTTGGTGACTATTCATTAACAATAATAACTTGGTGACTATTGTGAGAAGAAAAAATTGCCTATTTTCAGGAAAAATGTATACATATTGTAGATTATACACTATATATAAATTAACTTTTTTTTAAACACCTGTTAACATATGTTTTTGAGTTCAGTTAGATCTACTTAGGAAGAGATTATTTAGTATATTACAGTTCTTTTTATTACTAGTATTCAGGTTGTGAAGCTTAAATTCAGAAATGGAAGTTATGAGTCGTATTTTCATGTATAATTATGGGACTCCAAATTGGAACTTTTTTCTTTTTGACTTTTATTAAACAAAAACGGGTGTAATTATATCCACAATTATTTGTCAGTCACTTATTGTGGGAGTGTGCAGCTGTTTCTTCAACATTGGGAGTTGAGCCCAGAGCCTCATGCTAGCTAGGTAAACACTACACTACTGAGCTATAACTTTAGGCAATTAGGGTGCAACTTTAATTGGCGTTTTGAATATTAGCCTCAAAGAGTGAATAATAATAGCTTAGTCCTCATTGAAATAGTATTGGAATTTGGGATACAAAAGGAGGTGTTTGGTTCCATTCCAGTTGTAATCAGAAACAAGAAGTGTTGCCCTTAGCCAAAGGGCATGGGATTTTGATCATTTATTTTTATATTTTAGGTTTCCAGTAATTATCTGCAGGAATCGCCATGACCCCAGCTCTGAGGGAGGCAACAGCAAAAGGTATCTGCTTTTCATCTTTGCCCAGTACCATGGAGTCTGACAAGATGCTGTGTATGGAAAGTCCAAGAACTGTAGATGAAAAGCTGAAGGGAGACACTTTCTCTCAGATGCTGGGATTTCCGACTCCTGAGCCTACTCTTAATGCAAACTTCGTGAACTTAAAACATTTTGGCTCCCCCCAGGCTTCAAAACATTACCAGACAGTTCTTTTAATGAGCTCTAATACTTCATTAAATAAATACAATGAGAATTGTAAACAAAAGAAATCAGGGGAGTCCAACTGCAATAAACTGAAAAACATACTGTGTAATGGCAGCAACATTCAGCTCAGCAAAATCTGTCATTCTCATTCTGAAGAGTTCGTAAAAAAGGAACCTCTATCAGATACTTCAAGCCAATGCACAAAAGATGTACAAATTGTTTTGGATTCAAATCTAACCAAAGACACTAATGTAGATAAAATACAACTCCAAAACTGTAAATGGTACCCAAAGAATGCACTTTTGGATAAAGTTGCTGATACTGAGATTAAAAAAGGTTTATTGCACTGTACTCAAAAGAAAATGGGACCTGGCCACTTAAATGTGCCTATTAGTTCTTCAGCTGCTGAAAAAGAGGAGGAAGTGAATGCTCGTTTACTTCATTGTGTAAGCAAACAGAAAATTTTACTTAGCCAGGCTAGAAGAACTCAGAAACATTTGCAAATGCTCCTGGCAAAGCATGTTGTTAAACACTATGGTCAGCAAATGAAATTTTCTATGAAACATAAGCTACCCCAGATGAAGATCTTTCATGAACCTACCACACTTTTGGATAAATGTTTACCTGAACACACTGAAATTAAGCCAGAAGTCAACGTATTGAGTACAGAGAATAAGTTGTGGGATGATACAAAAAATGGCCTTGCTCGGTGTACAGCTGCAGAAATCCAAAGATTTGCACTATCTGCTACAGGGCTATTGTCTCATGTTGAAGAGGGTCTGGATTCTGATGCCACTGATAGCAGCTCTGATGACGATTTGGATGAATATACCATTAGAAAAAATATGGCAGTGTAAGTGCAAAATTATTATTAGCCCTTTTTCTGTTCCGTATATAGTAGCAATTATATTGGTTTCAAGATATTTTAAAGGGATTTAGGCTTTCTAAAATCTTTACACTATAATAAGTTTTATAAAGTTAAAAAGGTTTATAAGTTATATAAAATTTTGCTCTTGTAAAATATTTCATTTGCTAACCTGTTGTGTGAGTCAGATCTGTCAAAGATGGTTTCAGGACCTTCTGCTTATGACAATGCACAGATGCTCAAGTCCCATATATAAAAGTGCTGTATTTGAGCTGGGGAGGAGGCTCAGTGGTAGAGTGCTTGCCTTACATGCATGAGGCCTGGTTTCGATTCCTCAGCACCACATAAACAGAAAAATCCAGAAGTGGCACTATAGTTCAAGTGGTAGAGTGCTAGCCTTGAGCTGAAGAGCTGAGGGACAGTGCCCAGCCTAGAGTTCAGGCCCCACGACCCACCAAAAAAAAAAAAGTGCACTATTTATACCTACATAATCCTTCAGTATACTTTGAAATCATCTAGCATGCTCATAAAACGTAATACATAGCAGACACTGTGCAATAGTTGTCAGTACTGGACTGTGTAAGCAATAACTACAAGAAAAGCATCCATACATATGCATTTTTTTTTCTGAATGTGTATTTTTTTTCCTTTTTCTTTTTGGTTTGGGTTCTGGGCTGAACTTAGTTCGAACCTGGGAGTTTTCCTGAGCTTTTTTGCTCAAAACTAGCACTCTACCACCGAGTCACAACTCCACTACTTTTTTTTGTGTGTACTTAATTGGACATCAGAGTCCCACAGACTTTTTTGCTCAGGTAGCCTTCAAACTGTGATCCTCAGATTTTAGCCTCCTGAGCTAGGATTATAGGTCTGAAACACTGGCTCCTACCTTAAACCTTTATTTGTGGCTGATTGAATCTGTAGGTGTAGAACCCGTAGTTATGGAGGGCTGACCGCACATCTTACTTTAAGGTATTCAGGTGTTTTGTCTAGGGAAAACTCGCACAGGCCTGTTAATTCTACTAGCTGTATATAAGCATTTCCTTACTACTGATGTAATAAAGACCTAAGTCTTTGCTTACATGTTTTAGTCAATATAAATAAAAGAAACTAAAAATCCAATGCATTTAAGAAAACCTCATTGGTTTGGGAAAATCACTGAGTTGATATTACGTGTGAATTCACCTGATACTTCTCATTAACAAACTATGTATTTATTGTAATTATAGCTTTCAGCTTTGTCATTTACTAACTCAAGTCAGTTTTTGTAATATCAGTTTTAAGATACCTATTGAATGTTTTCATATGCCAGACACACTGTTTTGTGAGCAAAATATTCATGGTATTTGTTTTTTTGGACATTTACTTGAGACTTAAGTATCTATATCCAGCCCAGACAGAAAAATTTGTGAGACTGTCTTCAGCTAACCTGCAGAATACTGGACTGGGGATGGCTCAAGTGATAGAATGGCAGCCACTAATAAGAGAGCTGAATAAGAGAACAAAGCCCTGAGTTCAGGTCCTGCCCTGGCATGAGGGTGTGCATGCATGTGCATGCCCGCGCACTCATGTGTGTGTGCACACACACACACACACACATAACAAATATTTATTCTTCAGCATTCTGTTAATTTTGAAGTTTGAGTGAATTTTGAGAACAAAGAACACAATTTTATAGTTTGTGTGTGTGTGTGTGTGTGTGTGTGTGTGTGTTTAAACTAAAAAAAACCAACAAAACTTTGGCCTGAGACCTGGACTCCAACTCAGTATCTGATGCTTTTGCTCATTGGCTGGTAATCTATTACCTAATTGTATATTTTGTCCCCTGCCCCTCATTTGTATATTTTGTAGTGAATATAAAATGGTTTCTGTTTTCTTAAGTTAGAATTATTTAATTGGTTCTTTTACTTTTGTGCTGTTGCTGAGGCTTGAACTCAGGGCCTGGGCTCTGACCCCAAGTGTTTTTGCTCAAGGCTAGTGCTCTGCTACTTGAGAAAATAAGTTTCATCGACTTTGCTGCTTGGGCTTGGCTTGGAACCGCAATCCTCAAATCTCAGCCTCCTGAGTAGCTAGCATTACAGGAGTGAACCACTCCTGTAAAAATAAATAAAATTTATTTTTATTTTCTACATTTGTAAAAACTTATTTTTTAAATGAAGATGAATATAAAACATAAAAAATACCTAAATGAATGATCTTTAAGGGCATACTAACATAATTCAATTTTCATTATCTTGACTGAAGATGAAGACTTCTCAACTTAAGTTCATAAGGTCTAGAGTGGCAAATACTAAAGTTGGCTCAAATTAATTTTAGGCAATTTGAAGGCAAGCGCTAGTCTTATATACACACTGTTTAGTGTTGTCCTTTATGTAGTTATTGTTTGTTATTTGTTGAGTGAATGAATGAATTTTCTGTATTTGTGTATATAGTGTCTGTAGTTGAATGGATTATGAAAAATTGGGGCTTGGCAGCCTGAAATTCCTGAATATACAGTTAGCCGTCTGTATCTATAAACTAGATCTAACAACCAAAAAAAATCATGTAGCTGGGTGCCAGTAAGTAGTTCAGACCTGTAATCCTAGTGACTCAGGAAGGATGAAATGTAAACATTGCAGTTCCAAGTCTGTGTAGGCCGTGAAGTCTATGTGACTCATATCTCCAGAAGTGGAACTATGTCTCAAGTTGTAGAATACTAGCCTTAACAAAAAAATGCTCAGAGTCAGAGTCCATGCCCTTAGTTCAAGCCCTGCCCCTTCAACACACACACAAATTGCATCTATTTTGAACATGTACAGATTGACATTATAACCTAAACAACATAGTAAAATAGCTATTTATATAGCATTTACACTCTAGGTAAAAAGAGGTGATAAATGATTTAAAGTATCTGGGAGAATATAAATGAATTATATGCAAACAGCATTCCATTTAGTTAATTAATTCAAAAGTATTGGTTTTGAACTAACTGAGGGCATTGTACAGTTGCTTAGCTTTTTCACTTAAGGCTGTCATTCCACCAATTGAGCCACACCTCCAACTCTGGCTTTTTGTGAGTTAACTGGATATAAGAATCTCTCAGACTTGGGGCTGGGAAGGTGGCTCAGTGGTAGAGCGCTTACGTTGTATGCATGAGGCCCTGGGTTCAATTCCTCAGCACCACATAAGCAAAAAAGAAAAAAGCTGGAAGTGGCGCTGTGGCTCAAGTGGTAGAGTGCTAGCCTTGAGCTGAAGAGCTGAGGGACAGCGCCCAGGCCCAGAGTTCAGGCCCCACAACCAGACACCCCCCCCTACCCCACAAAAAAAAAAAAAAAAACAACTCTCAGACTTGTCTACCTGGCCTGGCTTTGAAATGGAACATCAAATCTCAGCCTCCTGAATAGCTAAGATTCCAGGTATGAGTCAAGTTTGATCAACTATGCCATTTTATATAAAGAACTTGATTATCTGTGGATTTTAGTGTATGTGTGCTTTATCTTTAACTCATGTTACTTTTCCTTCCTTCCTTTGATTCTAATGCCAAACTATCTACAACAAATAGCTTTCATATGTAGGCCATTCATGAAAGTATGTTCAATAAATTAATAAAATATACTTAAATATGAACATTTTAAAGTAATGGTTTTATTATATATTTAACGTTTTATTTTAAAAATTGATAAAATGTATTTTATTTAATGTAAATATATTATTATTGTATACCTTCTACTTTTGTTTGGGCTTTTAGCTGAGAAGGAATGGGTTTTCTGTTGTTGTTTTGCGATTGGAAAGCATTTTTATTAGACATTATCATCACTGTTGTTTTTAGAAGTATTTTGTTGACTTTCCCTTTTACTTTTCCCCCAAAAAGGTAGGCAATCGATAGCTTCATTATAACATTGTTGATAAAATTTAAAAATAACTTGTTTGAGAGGCTCTGGTGCACTGAAGAAAAGAAAGTTGCTTTCTCTTAGAAAGGATAATAAGTGGAATTTGTGTTTTTTCTAAGTTTGAGGTGAATTATATGTAGGTTTATAATATGAATGGAAATGTGTTCTATGTAGAAGAAGCTCAAGTCAAGAAGCTCAAGTTCTGGAAAGAACTGTTAAAATCATGGCTTGCTCTACGATACTGAGCAAGGTTTGTTTTTTTCTGTTCTAGACTCCTGTTCTTTAGTCTACTTTAAATAATGTAGGAGATAATTAGATGAAGTAGTAAGTATAAAATACCAGTTTGTAGTAAGGTAATGAAAGATGAAAACTATCAAGCTATTGATTACTGTGGAAGACTAGAGCTTATTTTTTTTTCAAAATTTTTATTAAGTGGTTACATAATTTCCCAAATTTCATAGTATTGTGGGATAGTGATGTTTAGTTAAAGTTACACACTCTAACTTCATTGGAGCAAATTGTCTATCATGGTCTATAACTTTTATGAGTTCCATGAGCTTTGCAATACAGTTAGACTAGAGCTTATTATTTCTGAAAGGAGCCAGGGTAAAATGTATGCCTCAGTGCTATCTGTTTGGGAGAGAAGGATCAAGGATACATTTTATAACAGTTTCTGTAAGTTTAGAATTGCAGGTGCTTCCCTGGCACTACCATTCTGCCATTTGGGTAGCAGATCAGGCTCCTGCAACAACAAAACCTTCAGTCAAATATAGATGCTGGAAGTTCTAGGCCAGACTGTGTAATACTGAACTGGTTAAATATGAGGGTTTGGTTGGGTCACTGAACTGAGAAGAGCCTGGTTATTTCTCATCTGGTAGTAATTCCTTAGAATGTCAGCATTTCTTTTCTCTGAGGAGTAATGACCTGTTTCTTCTAGGATACACAGTAGGAAAACTTAGCATTTCCCCAGGTTTATCTTTGTGAATATTAAAATTTTGGCCAGGTACCAGTGGCTCAGACCTATAATTCTAGCTACTTCTAGCTACTCAGGAGGCTGAGATCTGAGAATCAGCATGGGCAGGAAAGTCCATGAGACTCTTATCTCTAGTTAACCACCAAAAA